AAAGGAAAACTAAATGAAAAAAAAAATAAGAAAAAAAAATCCAAAACCCTATAATTATATATATATATATAGGGGAATGCTAATATACTCTCACCTATTTTTTAGTGGGAGTATGTTAGCAACCTACACCAATATTTTAGGACAAAAAAAATCACTCATTTCTTTTGATTTGGTTAATTTGTATAAAGGATATTATAGTAAGTTAATTTAATTTTAAATGAAAATAAGATATTTTTTCTCTCTTATTAACTTCATTCTCTAAGTCATTTCTCTCTCTTATTAAATTTCTTCTCTAACTCATTTTTCTTTCCTATTAAATTCTTTCTCTACATATTTATCTCTTTCTAATTAAATTCCTTCTTTAACTCATTTCTCTCTCATCTCTCATGATGTCTTCCCCCTTTCTTTCTGAACAAATAAAAATTAATTAATTAGAAAAAATAAATGAATTGGAGAATGAAATTAATAAGAAAGAGAAAATATTTTATTTTCATTTAAAATTAAATTAAATTACTATAATATCCTTTGTACGAATTAACCAAATCAAAATAAATGAGTGACTTTTTTGTTCTAAAATTTTGGTGTAGGTTGTTAACATACTCTCAAATCATCAATAATATATTTGAAATTGACAAATTGAGATAATTATCCTGTATCATTTAAGTTTAAAATTAAGAGATTAAAAAAATTTATTTTAAATTTAAGAAACTAATAAACATATTTAAATCCAATAAAAATATGTTTAATAATAACAATAATCTCAAATCCAAAGTAAAAGAAAACCATTATTATTTTTGTAAAATTTCATGGTGGACACTTTTCCACTATTTTGTATTCAAACAACCATCACATAGTGACATAATTAGCATTACAATTTTGCACGGAAAAATAACTCTTCAAAATAGTTCTTAAACAGGAGATCCACCACTGCCATATCCACCACCACTTCCGCCAGGTGATCCACCATATCCACCACCACTGCTTCCGCCAGGTGTTTCACCATATCCACTGCCGCTTCCACCAGGTGTTCCACCATATCCGCTGCCGCTTCCGCCAGGTGATCCACCATATCCACCGCCACTTCCGCCAGGTGTTCCACCATATCCACCGCCACTTCCGCCAGGTGATCCACCATATCCACCGCCGCTTCCGCCAGGTGGTCCACCATATCCACCACTACTTCCGCCAGGAGCTCCACCACTTCCAGGCATACCACCCCCGCTAGGTGGTCCACCACTTCCAGGCATTCCACCGCCACCAGGCATACCACCCCCGCCAGGTGCTCCACCGCTTCCAGGCATTCCACTGCCACCAGGCATACCACTCCCACCAGGTGCTCCACCACTTCCAGGCATTCCACTGCCACCTGGCATACCACTCCCGCCAGGAGCTCCACCACTTCCAGGCATTCCACCGCCACCTGGCATACCACCCCCGCCAGGTGCTCCTCCACTTCCAGGCATTCCACTGCCACCTGGCATACCACCCCCGCCAGGTGCTCCACCACTTCCAGGCATTCCACCCTCGCCAGGTGCTCCACCACTTCCAGGCATTCCACCGCCACCCGGCATACCACCCCCGCCAGGTGCTCCACCACTTCCAGGCATTCCACTACCACCAGGCATACCACCCCCGCCAGGTGCTCCACCACTTCCAGGCATTCCACCACCGCCGGGAAATCCACCACCACCAGGCATGCCACCACCACCGGGCATTCCACCGCCACCAGGCATGCCACCGCCGCCTGGCATTCCCCATCCTGGTATTCCAAAGAAGCAATTTTTGGTTTCATCTGAACAACCACCACCTTTACCACCTTCAGGGCTAGGGCTAGGGCTGGGCCCAGGGCTCGGACCTGGACTTTTGGCATCACTTTTCTTTTCAACAACTGTAAACACATGAACGTCAACAAATATCATCACATTGACCACGACACAAATAATAATGTTATCAATAACACAATCCATACGTAGGCAAAGACCCATGCATGCATGAGTTATACTACAAAATTATAAAAATTAACAAGAACAACATGAATATGAAAAAAGTTCAATATCATGGAATTAATGATTAGGCATACACATACCAGCATTAGGAGGAAAACCACCGCCACCACCACCAAACCCAGGAATTATTCCTGGAATTCCAGGAATACCACCTCCACCTATCCCAGGGATGCCAGGAATACCAGGGATGCCAGGAATACCAGGGATGCCAGGAATACCACCACCTAATCCAGGGATAAAACAATTTTTATCAACACAACCACCACCTTTGCTTATTTTAGGTATCGAGGAACTCTCAGGTAAATCCCTAGCTGCTACAACTAAAGGGATGAGAGCAATTATTGCCATGAGTCCAAGGAAGATTGAGCCTTCCTTGGAAACCATTTTTCACTAGTAATCCTAAAGAATATCAGCAAAGTATATGAGAAATGTTTGCTGTAGAGACTTCAAAGGTTGTTATGAAAATTAGTGAGGAACTATACTCTATATATAGCGGAGGAAATCAAGAAAGAGATTAAGTGGAGGAGGAAGTGGACCTGCCTTATTCAACTCTTTCTCTTCCTTAATTAAATTTTTGTAAATAAACATTACTCTTTGTCTCTTCCTTAATTAATTACTTTTGTTGATAAAAATTAATTGTCTGAGTAATGAAAGTGAAGTAATATTCAATGTTTGATGCTTGTGTTAAGGGCTTATGTAGTGAAGGTTGGTAAAATCTCGAACAACTGGCACCATATTATGCACATCTATCATGCATTGGCCGTAACATTGTGAAGTAAATAAATCAAGCACCGAAGTCAAGTTGAAAATGCAACTTGCATATATCTTGCTTTCAATGTTTTTTTTTTCTTTTCATTTTCTTGACTGACCAAAAAATAAGTTTGGATTCAAAATCAACAAAACTTAATTTACTCATTAGTCAAAATAAAATATTCAATGAGAACAAATCCTTCAATAATTCATTAAATATTTATGGTAAAGTTCAGTCTATGTCAAGAAGATGTAGTTTCCCCCATTAAATAATTTCATTAAGAATATTTACTGGGATTATATAAAATTAATGTCCATTTAATTTAAGGACTTAATGATAAAAAAAATTAAGTGTCTTTGGAATTAATGGTTACGGAATTTTCGTGTTGGGATTTTAAAAATAGTTTTTTTTTTTATAAAACAAATCTAAAACGACTTCTAATTCAATTTAGGCATTCTATAGCTTAATTTTTATAAGAAGAAATATTGATTTTTAGTTTTAATTTATTTTTGAAGAATATACAATTGTATAAAATATTCAAGAAAGAATTTTGTAGCTCATAATGATTCTTTTCGATGTGAACAAAACTGCCTTAAGTGAAAAATATCAGAGGTATAGATAAAAAAATTACTATTATGCATTATCTACGAAATAAATAATATATTAATACCAAGCACAAAGTCAACTTGAAAACAGTTTTGCTTTCAATGCTTTCTTCAATTTCTTGATTTAACTAAGTACAGTAGTAAGTTTGAAATTAAAGAATAAAAACTTCATATAACCGTCACAATGAAAAACAATTGTTTATTAATGACACATTGTTTATATAGTGATTTCTAAAAATTATTTTTACTTATAATTATATTCTCATAATTATTAATAAATTTGGATATAGACCATTGTATTATATAATATATGTTATTAAATTTAATTCAAAAATCAATCCTAAAATTATATGTAATTATTTGTTAAATAAATTTAAGTAAGGATGGTAACGGGACGAATCGGGTACGTGTTTTATGATACCCGTTTTCGTCCTTACAATTCAAACCCATTCCTATACCCGTACTCGTTGAGTATATTATTTTCGTCTCCATCCCCGTCCTTATCGAGTATCAGGTATATCCGTACCCGTACCCGTCAATTTTTTAAAAAAATATATAATATTTTAAAATTATTTTTCTATTATATTATAATTATAATTAGATTATTTCTCTATCTCATATTTTAATTTAGAGATTTCTTAATAATTAAACAACTATAAATGTTTCACATTATAATAAATAATCACACATTATCAAATATTAAAATTCTTTAACACAATTGGAGATGGGTACTAAATTGGGGATGGGACATGGATGAGTAAGGGACGGGTAAGTATATACCCGTACCCAATTTAATATATCAAATTTTACCCGTACCTGTACCCGTGCCCGGTCAAAATGTGTATTTCACATCAAAGTCGGGACAGGTTCGGGTATTACTAACGGGTACAAATTTATTTGTCATCGCTAGATTTAAGCTTACATATATTATATCTATAATGACATTTTTTGTATGTTATTATATGTAATATTTTTTTATAAAGTAAAGATTTGAATTTTACAGTCTAATTTAATAAGCTTAATTATGTTTAATGAAGAATCAACATCATATATTAACAATATTTACTACACAATTTTAAAAATTTAAAATTAATAATATATTTCAAAACCAAAAAATATAGAAAAAGATATATAAATATTTAAATACTATAATAATAACATTAAATATTATATTGATACTTATAATAAAAATTTATTTATTTTTTTAAATTAGTTGCTTAAAAATATATTTTATGAATAATAATTAAAAGTAATATTTTTATAAATGCATATTAAAATTTAAAATAATTCATAATATTTTAATTTAATTAATAATTAAGGACATAAATCAATAAATAAAATATCATTTATATAACTCTAAATTAATTTTTAGTTTCTTTATTACTATATATTTTATGAATAGTAAAATTTAAAAGAAATAATTTGATAAATTGTAGTTAAATTTAAAATATTTATAATTTTATATTTAAATTAATAATAAAGAATAGAAATTAAGAGGTTATTATATGTATATATAACTCTATTTTTTTATAATTTAGTTACTTTAAAATATATTTATGAAAAATAATAATTAAAAATAAATTTTATAATTTAGTAAAATAAAAAGTATTTTTAATTTTAAAATAATGATTCGGGATAAAATTTTTTATATATATATGTGTGTGTTTTTCTATTTTAATTAAATTTTGTTCTATAGGCTTATTTCTATCTATAATTAATCAAACTTAGTACAAAGTAATCATTCACACTCAACAAGCAGATTTAAACATCCTTAACAATATTAATTTTTGATCAACAATAAATTTTGAGATATATTATACTCCCTCCATTCTACAATAAGTGTTGTGTTAGAAAAAAAGGATAAGTCTTGAAATAAATGTCATGTTAACTTTTCAATGTAGTATATTAATTACCTATTTTTCTTTTATATCCCTAATAATATTATTTAGAAAGTGTTTGTTATTACATCATTTCTAATAAAAAAAATAATCATAAGATTAATTTGTAAAATTAATATTGTTATTTATCTATTATTTAACTTTTTTTTTATCTGTATAAAATAACTTAAGACAATACTTGTTATGGGAGATTAAAGAAGTAATATGCATTAAAAATTTGTAGTAATTAGGTCATATTTATTTGAATTTAATGTACCTAAATATATTTAATGACATTTATGATAAATGTAAATAAACTTAAGTAAATTTATTTTGATTTTGATGCGAGTCAGTTTAGTGGTAGATAATTAGGATAATATATATATATATTTTTAGGTTTGAATTCTTTTGTTTATGTCGTAATTTTTATGAATAAAAAAATAAATATTCTTAACCTATTAGGGTAGGGCAGGGCAGACACTAAGAGTTGGTTTGACCCAACTTATTTATATCTTAATTTTTACTGATAAGTAAAAAAGTGAGCTAAACACATTTATATAAAATCCATTAAAAGAATAAATGACTTAAAATTTGTAAAGAAATAATAAGAAACAATAAACTTTTGAAAAAGCTGATCAAGGAGCATAAATGGAGTTTTTTTTTTTTTTTAACACCTCACTTTAAATTTCACTAGTCGTTATATTTGCATGCATTTTATTTTAGATTAAATCACTTTTGATCACTCTATAATATGAAATTCATAATTTTAATCCTTTTATTTTTTTAATTCAGCAATTTTAGTCCCTAATTTTACAAAATTCACAATTTTTGTCTCCTCAATGAATATTTGTCAATTAATCTCTAAAATTGTAACATTAGTAATAATCTAACATTAAGTAAATGATTAATAATTAATACTTAATAACATTTAAGCTAAAATTCACTTTTAGTTCTCATTTTTATCTCCTAGAAATAATAAAATGAGATGAAAGAGGAATTTAAGAGTGCAATTTAATTTAAATATTATCAAATATTACACAACAAAAGAAAATAAGGCTTAAATTATTTATATATATATATAATGTATATATTAATACAAATATATTTATAATTTTTTCAAAACACGCGTACGTTTATATAAATTAAAGTGATACAAGACACGTGTAAATACATATTTATTTTTATATTTTTAATATATATACTAACATATTATATAAAAATAAAATTATAATAATATAAAAGAAATAAAGATGGTAGAATTGATGACTATACACGAGTTATTACACTGGCCTGAATGTAATTTTTAGCATCCTTTATATCAACCCAATTTTTATAAGTAAAAATAAAACATTTTTGGGAAAATTGTGATTGTATTAAATGGGTTTTGTAATTAAGAGTTTCATAAAAATAAGAAAAAGGCCTTTATGAATAATAAAAAGTATGTTTTAAGATTTCTGGGTTCTAGTTTCCACTACCCCAATAAGCCCTCTATTCAATTAAAAAAAAAGAGTCTATTATGTTCTCTTGTTTTCTGCTTGTCTATTGAAACTCTCGTCACAAAAAAAAAAAAAAAATACAGAGGAATAAGAATTTCAAGGAGAGGATCACTTTTGTTATACTTTTGCCTTCGCCGGAACTTTTTTAAGGTAGGTGAAAAGTAGGTTATCTTGTTGATGGATGTGAATCAAATTATGGGTAACAAGGTTATACCTAACCCTTAGGTTTTTACTTGTATATTTTTTGGATGGGATTTACTTGCATATATATTTTTTGGATGGGTTATGAACATCCCAAAACACTTATAAAGAATGCTATGGTGGTGATAGTGATCGTTTTATGCTATACGTGGCTTTCTTGATGGTCGTGAGATATTGGGTTTCATGAAGTTTGATAAATTGTGATTGGATTAGATGTGCTGTGTAAATTGGATTAATTGTGTGTATTATGTATGCGAATGCTGTGTTGAATTCTTGTTTATCGATGAAATAAATCTACAAAAGAATCGAACCTAAGGAGCAAAGAATGATGGATTTTCGTAACCCCTGTTATGGTTCTACATGAGTCTAAACTAAGCTTGTGACCCTCCATGCTAAGCGCGTAACTCTCCATGCTAATTGCATGACTCTCTGGGAAACAAATTAAATTTAGACTTTGTTCCCCAGGAACTAAGTGTAGTAATAACCTTACCAGAGAAACACAAAGGAATCAAGTTAATAATTAGAGATATAAGTGAGTAAAATTTCAACTAACTTAAATCGACCAAATAAATTTAAATTTGATTTTTTTAATATTCAAGTCAATCTCAATCCAATCTTATTAAAAATTGATATTGACATTGTATGGATTGGATAATAAATTTAGAATTTTTTGATTCATGACCTAATCCGACCCAATAATATATAATAATAATAATAATAATAATAATAATAATAATAATATATAAGTTAGTATGACTTTTTGCTAAAATTAATATACTCTCTGTCACTTTTATTCAATAATGAGTATTGTATTTTTAAATTAATACCATTATAATAATATAATAATATAACATATTTATTTTAAATTATATTTTATATTAATGTTAATTGTTTGCCATGAAAATAGTGTAGTAAATCAACAAAAAAAATTAGAATTTAATTTATATCATTATTTGTTTTATCGTGGATAATATTGCATTTGCAATAAAATAACATTAAGTGTGGAAAGATCCATACTAAATTAACATTAGACTAGTAATAATAATCATGTTTAGACGTTAAATGCACTAAGCATCATTTTACATTGAATTTCTATGAGCTTTGACACTAAGAATGGAAATATTTACACCAAACACAAAGATTACAATGAGTTACAAAAGTTTTGACGTAAATAGCTTGAGTTGGTTTGCAAGCATAAGAGTCATAAAGAGCACAAACTTCTCTTTGTGCCTATGACACTAAGTAATAAGTGCGAGAATGCATATGCTAAGCACGACATTCCTATATTTGAGACATGAGATAACTAAACTTAAATATGAGAATTTGAGTTTTATTAATACAAATGAACAAGAGCCATGTATATTGAGTTTTGAGAATACAAGGCACTTAAGGTGTACCTAGCATGACTTTGTAACCTCAACAGGTCACTATTGAATTTTCCCTCTAGTGAGATTATGTGTTTGGTGTCAAGCACCTAATTAATTGCCGAGTGGCTTTATATACCTATATGTACTCCTAACTATGTTCTTTGATATGAGATTTCAAAGTTTATATTACATGTATAATTGTACTATAACATGAGGCACTGCAAAAAAGTTGGTGATTGTTGGTGATTCATTTTTAACGATTTAAATAAACTGTCAAAAAATGTTATAGTTCTAACAAACTGTTACAAAAAATTTAATTTTGAAACGATTTAAAACCACCACAATGTTTAAATATTTTATTATAATATTTTTTTATATTAACAGTAACGTGACCAATTCAAAACATTTTTCTATTAAAAGAATAAAATAAAATAGTTAAAATTCAAGAACTTTAATTCAAAATCAAAATCTAGGTCATACAATAACATGATAATTATTTTATTTTTGAAGGAGAGAGAAAAATAAAAGGTGTACAAATAAAAAAAAAAAGATATGAGAAAAAAATATACCACTATCATACATATGCATACATTTTTTTTATTGTTTTATATTTTTGTTTAATGTATTTTTATTTTAATACAATTATATACTTATATATATAATTAAAAAATCTTAGACTAAATTTTAAAGGAATTGGTTTTGTTTTACTAGATAAAAATTATTTTATTATTAATAAAAAAATTAACTAAATCTCCATACATTTCACCGGTAAACCATCAAGTTATTAATAAAAGGCGATAGTTTATATATATATATTTTATATAGTTTGTTAGTTATTTTAGTCTTTAATTTTAAAACATTCTTTTTCATAATCTTTATTTAGTTTTATTTTTCTTTTTTACATAAATTTATTTTTCAAATCTCATACTATTTAAGTAATAGTATCAAATAATTTTATTCAAATATCTCTTGTTAACGCTAACAATAATAGGCTTAATAGTAACACGAGTATATATGAAAACCGAAGTAAAGAAACATTATTATTTAGGAAAAACGATCTTCGAAGGTGGATATACTTCCACTACTTAGTGTTCATTTAACATAATCACACGGTCACAGAATTAACATAATTTGTTGTTGATAAAATAACTCTACTTATGGTTTCCGGGATAGCTCTTAACGCCGTATCCACCACCTCCAGGTCCCCCACCGTAACCCCCACCTCCAGGCCCACCACCGTAGCCACCACCTCCAGGCCCCCCACCGTAGCCCCCCCCTCCAGGCCCCCCCCCGTAGCCACCACCTCCAGGCCCCCCACCGTAGCCCCCCCCTCCAGGCCCCCCCCCGTAGCCACCACCTCCAGGCCCCCCACCGTAGCCCCCCCCTCCAGGCCCCCCCCCGTAGCCACCACCTCCAGGCCCCCCACCGTAGCCCCCCCCTCCAGGCCCCCCCCCGTAGCCACCACCTCCAGGCCCCCCACCGTAGCCCCCCCCTCCAGGCCCCCCACCGTAGCCCCCACCCCCAGGCCCACCACCACCAGGCCCTCCACCGCCAGGCCCACCACCGCCAGGCCCACCACTTCCAGGCCCTCCACCACCAGGCCCAACACCATAGCCACCACCACCAGGCCCAACACCATAGCCACCACCTCCAGGCCCAACACCATAGCCACCACCTCCAGGCCCGACACCGTACCCACCTCCAGGTCCGGTACCAGGAGGCATACCTCTTCCAGGTATGCCTCCAGGTCCGCCGCCACTGTAAGGACCACCTCCGGTCCCGCCACCGTATCCACCACCACCTCCGACACCGTAACCACCACCACCTCCGCCACCGTAACCACCACCACCACCACCCCCAGGCCACCATCCTGAACCAAAAGGGATACCCCAACTTCCTAAGCAATTTTCTGTTGAACAGACACCAGCAAGTGCGCCTTCAAACCTTGGATTTTCTCCATATTTCACACCACCCACCTCATTTTTCTCTTTAGCAACTTCACCCACAAACACATGAAAGAAACCATGAACAAATGTCATAATCGTAATTATATTCGTATATATTTCCCATGAAACATAAAACAAGCTTTATCTCGAGTTTACTAAGTTACAATGCAAACCATCATTGAATTTAAAATTTGTTGAAATTGAAAGCAAAAAGCAAACTCACCCGTTATAGGCATTTTGGAAGTCTCCGCAAGATCCCTAGCTGTGACGTTAGAAGATTTCAGAGCAAACATGGCCAAGAGGCCTAGGATGAGTAAGGTTTCCTTAGAAACCATTTTTCAGTAGTAGTGAACCAAACAAACCGAATCTAATAAATGTTTTCCGATGAAACTTTGATTTGAGAATTATTAGCTGCAAAGTGGCTCTATATATATGTAGTTGAGGAGGACTACAACTTCTCGATTTAACCTAAAAATTAAATTCGGTCTTCTCCAAGAGCTGAGAATTCTCACACTTTTGATATCCCCACTCAACGTTCTTCCTAATTTCGGCTGTAGCACTAGCATTCATTGTTCGATGTTTGTGTAAACGTAATTCTATGTAATGAAAATAGCTAAAATCTCTAACGAGTGCATATCTGTTCTATCTTGCATTGTTTGTAAGCACCAAAATGATCAACAGGGACAGGTATAAATGCTTCCTTTAGTTTCTTGGACTGATCAGCAAGAAGAAATGTTAGAAAGCACAAAAATCAACCAATTAGCCCACCCCAGTTTTTTTAAAAATGAAATGTTAAATCAGAACAAAATTTATATTTATATTTTCCACCTAAAAAAAAGTTACTTATAATTTGAATCAAATAGTGATAGACAATTAATAATTCTTCCGAAAAATGTATAGTCTTTGTAAGAAAATGTGTAAGATTATTATTATTATTATTATTATTATTATTATTATTATTTATTAATATTAATAAAAAAGAACCACGTATCATTATTTAATTTAAGAGCTCGGTGATAAAAATATGAAGATGATATAAGTTTTGTTCTAAAATAATAAACAAGATCGATTTAATTATGTTACAACTCTTATCTAAAATTTTAGTAATTTATTTGTTTACACACTAAGATTTCTTATAGTAACACGTTCTATAATAATACAATACATGTCACTAAAAAGTATTCTTATTTATATACTAAATATAACTTATGTTGATACATTGTTAAAAAATGTTAGTATAAATTATAATGATATATAAAATATGTTATTAATTAGATCACATTTAAAATTAATACTTATAATAACAATTTTGTATGTCAGTATTACATTTTTTGTAATGAAATATTTATTAATCGGATATTATTGTACTTACATCGAAGGAAAAAAGTAGGTGATGTATTTTTTCTTGGTTCATTATTTAAAAAGGAAACAATGTAAAAACGCGTATTTTTTTTTTGTTTGAAATTTGCAAATATCATTTCTGCTAAAGTTTTAGATTATTTCGTATCACAATTTTTTTCAGGGTACGTGGGCATAATCTTTGTTTAAAGCATTGAGGTTGCTCATACGCTTGAACCCTTAGGTTGCTTAACTTTATCAACCACCAAATTTAAACTAGGATAGACATCCTCGGACATGCGTACCTGTTCTTTATTATTATTATTATTATTATTTTTTATAACCAAAAGATTTCGTTGAAAAAGTAACATATGCAATAATACACAATCTAAAAATTAAACCAGAAAATAGAATAATATCTCCTATTTTTATAGTTAATCCTTCCTAAAAAAAAAAAAAAAGAATGCAAGCTTTTGACATTGAGAGAGAGAAAAAAAATACTATTATGTGATATAATATGAGAGAGCACGACTAGCTCTTTGAAGTTCTTATTGTAACACCATCTTGTAGTTACTAACTATAACTATTTATTTAAATATTTACTTTTTTTAAAAAAATAATATTATAAGAAATTAATTAAATAAAACATCCTATAATACTAAGGAATGTTGAGTTAAAGAAAAGCAAGTTTATTGATTATACAAACTTTATTATAAGTGACTATTATGTAGATTCTTACCGTAGTTGTTAAGAAGAGAAGGAAATATATATATTTTTTTATAAATCCCTTTCCTATTTCTTATATTTATTTCATAAGGAAAGATATATACTACATATTATATAGTGAATTAACATGATTTGTTGGCAAGAGAGTAACGGTGATAGTCACATAATCATCAAGGATAATTGACATTGATTAATTCGACAATGATGGCATTATTTTGAGTGTTAATTATCCATTGTGATTTGAGAAATACAACATGAATAAGTGTTGCTAATGTACCAAGATTTGGAGTAGTAATCTATTTTAATCTATTATATATATATATATTTTAAAAAAAAGCACACCTAAAGAAAAACAAGAAACATAAAAAGAATGAGAACAAATATCTTATAGATCAATAAAAAAATATAACCATACAACCATACTCTAATACAATATATATATATATATATATATATATAATATATATGTAAACTAATTAATAAGTATGTATCCTATATATAAACTAATAAGTATCACAATACAAATATCAAATATCACCCACTTGATCAACTACATACCCATTTAAATTTATAAAGCCAAAACTTTCATCTACAAAATTCATGTCTTTATCCAAGCATTCAAATCTTTTATTACTTATAACATGCTTGTATTTGTTGACAAATAAGAATGACTTACTAATCATAATTTAAGAATAATACTTGTTATTAAAAAAATAAAAAATAGATATTATGGATAAGAGTGATTTTTTTTAATCTTAAATGTAAAAAAAATCAATATAGTATCATATAATTTAAGAAATAATCTAAATGAACTTGGCATTATTTTGAAAACAAAATTTTAAATAAAACATTTGCAAATAAGAAAACATACTAAAATTAAATAAAGAAAACACAAATAACACATATAAGATGTTACAAAAATAAAAATAGTTAAATAATATATTAATAATAATTAGATATAATAAATAAATAAATAAAATGAAATTAAGAACACTCACCAAATAATTAATAATAAATGTCTCTTTCCTTCTACCATTTTAACACTTATTTTAAATGAAATCTCATTCTTAATAGTAATTTAAATGATCAAGTCTTATTTTTTTTCTTAGTAAAATGATACTAATTGAAAATTAACAATAAAGAGTATGTGTGTGACTACACTATTTCTTTCTTTCATTTTTTTGCTATTTATAGACTGACGAACTTTGTACTTTACGCTGATATATTGAAAACTGTAAAAAAAAAAAAAAAAAAAACATGTAGCTCCCTCTCTCTTCCAAGATTTCTTCATTTAATTGCTGGTACTTCTCCTTATTCCTTAATGTTATTATCCTTCTATACTTTCTTCTTATAACTTTATCCACTTGAGCGAGAATCACAATATAACTTTTGTATCGTCAAATCCTTGACATAGTTATGCTTTTTTTTTTTTTTTTTTTTTTTTTTTTTTTTTTTAATTCAATCCAGGTTATCATTGTTAACATATATATATAAGAAACCCAAAAATAAAATAAAATACAATAAAGTACTAATATTATTACTAAAAAAAATTATCATCCTATAATATAATTATATATAACTTGTAAAACAAAATAAACTCTTATTCATGGAGAGTGAAAAAAAAATTGCAACAAAAAATTTAAAATGTTACACTTATGCTTAGTGCATGATCTCCACACTTAACGTTGTGAGGAATTGTCAATTACAATTACTCCATTTCCATCTAATTGGGATTTCATAAGCATCTAATTGGCTCATATACATACACTACTGACACTTCTATCAACGCAGAGCAGATTGGGCGGTGTTTTGTGTCATGTGAGGAAACATAGAGGAACAGCTCCTTAAATAGGCATGAGGGTACTTTCAATTTCTTTAGGAGGAAGGTTTCTTCGTTGCCTGTAAAATTGTCCTAGTCTGGTTAGCTACTAATTTATTCTTATCTTAGCACATATTACATCTAACCATGACTCACTTTATCTGTCAATCTGTCTAACCTGTTTTGTTGTATATAGGTTTGAAGCACCCTTTAACTTATATATCACATATGCTCCTTTCTTTGTTATAAAAAAAACAGTACACTACTGATACTTCAGGGTTTGAGATTACTTATTCTAAGTTATTCCTTCTCAATTCAATCGATTTACATGATTAATTAATTTCACAATTTGATATTCTCTGCTTCATGAATTCTAATTTTTCAAGATATCCAAATAGCCTATTCATAATGCACACCAATTCATCCAATTCTCAAATAAGCAACCACAATTAACAGGAAATATACAAAACCAATAGAAACATGAGGAACTAGAAAAGTCAACAAAACCAATACATTGCAAAATGCGATATATATCGTACATATATACAATTCAAACAATCTTACTGTTACGGAATCTAAAACCAATCTCTATCTATGACCATTACTACACTCATGAATAAAATAACCCATCCTTTTACCCGAGAAGAAGAAAACACATATAATAAAAATATAAGCGAACTACAACAACTTCACTCAACGTTTCGCTTCAGGATATTGCGACTATGATACGTTTATAAATCGTAAAAATACTGCATAATAATCTGATACGTATTGTTATTTTGCTTTAATTTAATATTGAACTTTTAGTAATATTTCACTTTTTTTTAAATGTGTAGCAAACAGGAAAAAAATGAAATTAGTACAATTAAAAGATAAAACCAAGTAATTATAAAGGTTAAAAATATACAAAGTCATACTTGACTTACATAAGATCATACTTCAAAAAAAACATGTCATTATATATGATCATGTTATAAAACATGATCGTGCTTACCAATATGCATAATTGTGCTTAACCAATGGAACGCATCATTTCACTCTTGAAGTACAACCGGGTCTTTTTATATTTTGTGAAGCATGATCATGTTTAATTATATGTACGGTTGTTCTTAACAAAGCATATCTTGTTTGTTGAAGGCACATTCATGCTCCCTTGTCCTTCACAAAAGAATGTCATAGCACGATCATATTTCTCTTATGCACAATCATGCTTAAAAGTTCACTCCTGATTTTGTTGATTATAAATAATAATGTTCAGAACACATTATGATCATAAAATATAGTAAGTTTTAAGATGATATATACAAAAGAATAAATTAAGTTTAGACATAAAATATTTCTTATAAAACGAATATAAAAGTCCAAAAAACTTTCTATGGTAAATTACAACTTCCATAACTTATAATTTAGTATTTGTTTTACCAGACAGCTAGCCCAAATCAGCATTTTAGCCAAGCGCCATACATATTCAAAGCCAAGATTAAAAAATACAGGTGGCAAGTCATATGGTGTGCAATCACATGGAATATAGACATAGAAAAAATTGCATTTTTAGAGGTGTTGAGTTTGATAGGTAGAAATTGAAACAAGGTATCATGTTCACTGTTTGGTCTTGGTTCAATTTAAGGAAAGATCAGATTCAACATAACTTTGACCGATGAATTTCCAATCCAGGGGCTTGTTTTTGGGCTGGGAATTATGCAGGGAGCTGAGTTGCTTTTCACTGTAACAGGATGCACTGTGATATATGTATAGCAATTTCAGTGCTCATGAATTTTGCAGACTAACTACACAGGTTCCAATCCGGTACTTGAGCTGTTATAGTTGGTATTTGATTTGTATTATCTAAATATTAGTTGTCTAACATGATGTGGAGGCAAGTAAATGTTAGTTCTGGTGCTAGTCTATAAGCTGTGGGGAGTGGATTGGTTGGTTATCTTCTATTTATATATAATTTATGGGAGTGTAAATTTAAAGTAACCAATTGTATTAACCGTTTAGATAGATATCTTACTCAATTGTGACTTGTATGAGTTTTTGGTACCCTAAAACAAATTTAATATATCTTTTCTGTTTGCTGATTGTACGGGTAGGGGCGTTCAGCCACCCTCTTATCGGCCGCCGAATGGCCGAACCAGGTGGCCGATTGCCAATCGGTCACCTGGATCGGCTTATCTTTATTAATTATCTTTAATAAATGATTAAGGGTTAATTAGCTGATTAAGAAGTATTACCTAATACGGTAAGTATGTTACAGAGCCCATAAGGTCCAGGGCCCACGATTGTCAGTATAAATAGCTCAGGTCAAAAGGTAACGTCACTGTTCATTAATTACTCTAGATTTTCGTGCTTGTGCTGTCTTGAGCATCAGAGTGCCTTTTGCAGGTACAAACCCGTCTACTCACATTGGATCGGAATACTCGTTCAGAACACTCGTTCGGCCTTCAGAATACAAGAAGATCATTGGTGTATCCTTATACAGGTACATTTGGCGCCCACCGTGGGGCCGAACGAAGCTAATTGGAAGTTTAACTAAGAAGAACAATGCCGGTAACTCGGAGAACAAACACTCAGGATCGTCCCAATGAAGAGCATGTTGAAGTCGTTGATGAAACCGATCTTTCTGAAACGGTGCGATTGTTGAAGCAAGAAATGGAGTTGATGAAGCAGCAAAGAGAGAGAGATGCAAGGGAGCTTTCGGCCTTGAGAGCTGAGAATGAGGTGTTGAAAAGTCAAGATACTTCTTGGAAACCTACTCATGCCACCAACACACAAACTCAAGGGTCGTATCAATCTCACGCGATACATACTTCGGTTCCCCATGCTTCGGCAGCAGTCCCTGAGAAGTTCCCCTCGGCTTTACCAACTGTGGGTCGTCCTGCAGATATGATGACTGTTGGATCGCATCGACACCCTTTTACCCCCTCCATTATGCAACTCCCCTTAATGGATAATTGGAAAGCTTTACCTATTGATAAATACGATGGTACGACAGATCCTGATGAGCATTTGGATGTTTTTCTGACGCAGGTAACTCTGAGCACAACGGATGATGCTGCGTTGTGTAGGATCTTTCCTACGTCTCTCAAAGGCAGAGCCCTCAGTTGGTTCACTCGTCTTCCACCCAATTCAATCGACTCGTTCAACACATTGTCTTCACAATTTGCTATTCAATTTGCAACAAGTCGTCCTCATAATCTAACGTCTTTATCTTTGGTTGGTATTAGGCAGGACAAGAAGGAATCTTTGCGGGCATTTATGGATCGGTTTAACAAGGCTACTCTGGAAATTCGAGATCTTAACCCCGCTGTAGCATTGCATCACCTCACAACAGCCTTAAAACCGGGGCCGTTTGTCAATAGTATTTGTAAAAAGCCTCCTTTGGACATGAGTGATTTAAGGAGAAGGGCTGATAAGTATATGCAGATGGAAGAGTTGGCGGAATATCGTAATCAGGCCCGAGATGAGTCGTCAAGCAAGGTAGAAAAGCAAACAGAACAGTCATACAAGGGGAGAGGAAAGGATATATCTCTTCGGGATCGGCCTAGTCGGGGTCCGTAGTACAATCAATATACTCCCCTCAACACTAGCCGTTCGGTGGTACTTGAACAAGCTTTAGCTTCGGAAGTATTGACAATTCCAAAAAGAGCAGCTACACCACCACGTGCAGATACTAGTAAATCTTGTCGGTATCATCGCAATCGTGGACATTCTACTGATGAATGTGCAGCCCTTAGAGACAGAATTGAAGATTTGATTAAGCAACGCAAGTTGCATAATTTTGTGGATCGAACAGGGTTGTCGCAAACTCGCTCATATCAACCCAGGTATCAAGATCGGCGCAGACAAGACCGTTCCGATAGAGCCCCTCGTGAAAGAAGCAGGTCACGAGAAAGAAGTAGGTCGCGAGAAAGAAAGGATACCTCGGCACCATCACATAGGAGGGTGATCAATACTATTGCAGGAGGGTTTGCTGGTGGAGGCTCAACTTCATCGGCTCAAAAGAGGCATCTTAGAGCAATTCGATCGGTTAACGTTGTTCATAGACAGTCTTCACGGAGGTTACCAGCAATAACCTTCACCGATGCTGATTTCAAGGGTATTGATCCAGAGCAAGATGACCCGATGGTTATTAGCGTGGAAATTCACAATTGCATTGTCAAGAAAACATTGGTTGATCAGGGTAGTTCAGCAGACATATTATATTGGAATACTTTCAAGCAGTTGGCCATTTCGGAAAAAGAATTGCTCCCTTATGATGACCCGTTGGTCGGTTTTGCAGGAGAAAGGGTCAGTACCCGAGGTTATATTAAACTCTTTACACGTTTTTGTTTTGACGAACAACAGAGTAGAGAGGTTCAAGTGAAGTATATCGTGGTGGAAGCTAGCACTTCATATAATATCCTCCTTGGCAGGCCGTCCTTGAATGCATTAGGGGCTATCGTTTCAACACCACATTTAGCGATGAAGTTTCCATCTGATCAAGGGACAATAATTACGATTCATGCCGATCAAAAGGCTGCTAGGGAGTGTTATTATGCTAGCTTACGGATCGCGCCGTTGGAAGAGAAAAAATCAAAATCAAAAAGGGTTCATGCTGTTAACACTTCGGCACTCGGGGAGGAACCTGTTTGGGATCTTGATCCAAGAATGAACAATGAGGAACGGGTGGAGCCAGTAGAATCTAAAGTACAATTTCAGATCGGTGTACATCCTATTCAGGTTACATACATCGGTGCCGATATGACCGA